AAATAACTTCAATTTCTTCGGGGAATTTAATCGTAACAATTGATGTCATAAATTAAATTATAAAAAATCAGAGCTTAAAAAGCATACAATTTAATAAAGTGTAATTCAAAATACACATAACAATCGACTACTACTTTAATACTTCATGTGAACTATTTGTTCACTTGTTTTTTGGTCTGTAAAACATGAAAAAAATCAGAGCTTAAAAAGCATACAATTTAATAAAGTGTAATTCAAAATACACATAACAATCGACTACTACTTTAATACTTCATGTGAACTATTTGTTCACTTGTTTTTTGGTCTGTAAAACATGAAACAGGATTTTGATTTAAAATTACTAATTCTTTCGGTATTAATACAATTGTAAGGATTTTAAGCTTTTCTTTAAAAATCCCAATCAATTTCTATAATTGGGTAAATTGTTAGCAGAATATTAACAGTAATTAATCAGTAAATTTTGTTGTAATTATTACACACTGGTTATTTGCAAGATTGGTTTTAATTAAACAAGATTAATTAAACACTGGTTCTACTGTATGTAAAGTACAATACAGTATAATGTATTGCTTTATTTTCACTGTATATGAGATTATCAAGAATTTGTAAAAATATTACTTAATAAGTAATTAAGTTATTATCATATAATTAATGTTAATCGATGACATAAAATATAGTTTTATGTGTTATTTTCATAATATATGCTTTAATAATATTATAGACATATTCGTGCAAGATCTTTACGACTATATGGCAGTACTCATTGGTAGCCAATTATAATTGGATTTTAATGGAGGGCCTCTATCTTCATAATCTAATATTTTTCCATATTTTCAACGATAACTCAAGTATAATGAGATATGTTATACTCGGATGGGGTAAGAATTTTGTACTTGATACTAATTATTAGCATTAAGTGCATGTAATGTGTAAAAATTGTACATTTTATGTTAAAAAATTAATTAATGCAAAATGCAAAATATTTACATAGTAAAAATGTTTTATTAATAATTTAAAAGTAAAACACCTAGAACCTGTAAACATCACGTTATATAAATTAATTTAATGCATACTTCTGTGTAGATAAGTGTATAATCTATGATAACAAGTGTTTGCTGTTAATTTCCATTAATGTAACTCAACCAATATCATTTATTAAAACACCAAATGAATTCATTTCACAATTCATGGCCCATAACTCAATTGCAGAACACATTTACAGGCATTCAATCGTAGATTAAATTGCAAAAAAGTAATCATATTCTGAGCGCCAATAATCCGTAACTCAATTTGCGATAAATAAATGAACAAAATTAATACAAATGAAATGAATATGACTTTAATGTTTAATCTAATTTTAGTCACTGGAAGTAAACAACGTTTGCATGCAATTTATGATGTAATTTATATATAGTCTATATCTGTGTATATATTATTTAAAATATACATAAAATAACTGATTTCTATTTGTCTATTTGATGGTCGGATAGGTTTGCCAATCATATTCATAATTCCTTGGGTTGTCGTCAGAACTTATTTCGAGAACACATTGTATGTATTGATAGAACTGTTTGTTGCCTTCAATTCAAATCAAAATTAATGGAAACCAATATCATTACGACTACAGTCCACACAATTATGGGGACACACAGGCAGAGCAACTGTCTAATGGCTAACTAATATGGGGCACATGTTTTAGCTAATTAAATGACATATAAAATATACATAAATTAAGATTTATTTGATGTGTAAATATATGGACAGTTCGTTATTAATTATTAATTATATTAAATAGCATTTCGAGTAAATATGTCTAATATTAAAAAGAAAATGTATTTTATATATAAATAACAAAATTAACTAATAGTCAGGAATTTAGTATATATTTTAATTCATAAACCATTAGCACATAAAAATCATATCAAATTCTAAACTATTTTTACACTAAGAATCAAACGATAAAAATATCGATAATATTTAGGATGAATTTCTTAAACATTTCTCGCAATCATATGAAAAGTCATTAAAAATGAAAATATTTTAATAGAAGCGCTTCTTTTCGGTGAAATAAAATAAAAACCAAAACAAATGTAATTTGAATTTAAATCGAAATTACTTTTGCAGATAAGCGCACGAAATATAATATTTGAAAAATGTTGACAAATATATGTATATAAAAGTATGACATGAGATAAAAAAACAAATTATAATAGGGTTTCCACTCTTATATAAGATCCACAGAGTATTGTGTCTACGGTTTTAGATTAATAAACGGAATATTCTGTTATATTAATCGGAATTAACACTTAATAGTATAGGAGAGAGAAAAATGCAATTTTCATATGAAATTTGCTCTCTTTTCGGCGTTGAAATACAAGAGCGAATCATAAACAACATATATAATCATTATTATACAAACTATGTCTCGTATACTACAGTATATATCTATTATAATATATATATTTTATTTGATGCATCAGTTGCTGGACTACGAATGAAGATAAGAGAATATTCTGGATAATCAGAGGTCCTATTACTGCTACAATAATAGTAAATATCGATATATTGTATACTTTAACTTTAAAGCTACAGTCGACTCTCATTATATTCTGCTTGATTAGATTTGTTATGATTGTCTGATTAGCATAATTATTCTATAGTACCATAAAATCTTTACCCATCATTACAATGAGAACCTATTAGACAGTGAGAATAAATACGAGAAAAAGCATCTCAATTGATGAGATCTATAATCAGAGTCGGCGGTAATGTTAATACTGTATATAACTTGATATCAATAAAGAAAAATATCAGTTATAGTAATAACAAAAATAAATGGCACACAAAGGAGAAAAACTAGTTGACTAAAAGATGTGTTATTTTGTTATATATTTTCAGCTGAATTTCGTATTCTTCATAAACATAACACGAGTCCTATTCGTGAAGATGTTCTCGTCGTCGGTGTCTGTCCGCCAGTATAAGTACAAGACATGGTTTAAGTCGACATTCATTTTGGTGCCACTGTTTGGCGTTCACTATATGTTTCTACTGGTGTTCAACTCGCTGTCCATGTCTTACGATATATTTGAGATTATATGGCTTTATATAGACTTACTTTTCTCGTCGTTTCAGGTATGGCTCGCAGTTCATAAGGAATGCCAATTATATAACAGATTGCACGGCTATTGTATGTCATAAACAGTTCGCACACAAAATATATAAAGAAATTCACACACAATATATACCGTATACTAACTTATATATCATACAATTAGTGGTTAACAAATGCATCCCTATTTGTTATACAATCGTATACTTCATAGAGTAATGCCAAATGCAATCAAGACTTGAGTTAAACTCTAGAGTTAATTAAACAAATAAATATAACAACTCTTTATAATTGGCTTCGTATTAAAATGGATACCATTAGGCAGAGAGGGGTGAATGAAATACACCAAAGGGTTAATGAATTAATGCTCATGGACACTCATTTCTATTATAATGTACCTTAAATTTTAGGGAACATTTATTACAGTTAGTGATTTTTTACTTTTAAGACTTAATAACATCTTTTGCATTGACTTACATGTAGTAATAAATTTATATACAGTGCAGCCTCTCCATAGGCAGCGCAGTTGCAAGGCAAAAGTATTTCTTTAAGAGGGATTTCCTACTGAGAAGTTCCACTGTAGTAGTATTTTAACTAATAAAATATAATACACTTATACCTGCAATATTAATTGCGTTATTGATTTAATTTAAATATATTGTAAATGTGTGCACAATAGGGATGTGTTGTGGCTCTACTGTATTGCTTCTTCAACGGTGAGGTGCAGACAGAGTTGCATAAGTTGTGGCAATCGTGGCGTCGAGACAACCAAAAGACAGCGAATAATCACAACTCGACAACACATATGTCATACTTAACGCAATCGTTAACGTACTTAAGCCGCGGCCGTAACTCATGCTTCTCAACGGCCGCGACCGCAGCCGACAGCTCGACGTTAGGACACAAAGAGGCGGCCAATAGTCAGTCGCGATCGCCGTCGCCGTCGTCTCGGCTGAGGAGCACTCAAATCGTGACACAGAGTATGAATTACTCGCTGAGAGGCGGAGACGACAACCGCCACAACAGCCCAAAGACATCGATCAGAAGCGGTGACACGAGTAATATGTCGGCGATTGTGATCGTATGCGACAAACAAAGCTATTTAAATGGTAATAATAGCGGTCCGACCGTCGACTCCAATCAGGAGTCGATGATGTAGTCAATGATCGTCTCCACAAACTTGTTATTTATTTGTTATAATAATGTTTATATCAATTCAAATAATATTTGATTCTTGTCTTAAATTCATTACAATTTAATTTATTGTTGAGTTTTTATTTTGTGGAAATATATTACAAATTAAGAGTATTATGAATAAAGAGCATAATATATATTTGTGTAATAAAAGTACATTGTTAATATATTCATTTAACATTAAATGTTACAATACTTATTAAAATCTTTACATATTTTTCAAACTCTAAAGTTTTATCTCTAATATAATATTTAATATAAATTATTTTAACATTTCATTATAGTCTCTAATGTGTTGGAAAATAATTAAATACATTTGTAATTAATGATTACTTTACAAAAATGTTCATAAAAAACACTAATTTATTGTAATTTTTGTGATAAATGTATGAGAAAACCGTTTATATATACGTATATCCATAACGATGTCTATTAAAATAAAATTACATAAAAAGGGCAAATGTTTTTGTCGTGTTTTGATTTGTTAATTTAAATGTCATCAAAGTTTATGGCATTTGATTAAAAAACAGATACAGAAAAAGAGGATCAAATGTGCGCTCATATGGAGAAAAGTGGATATTATATAAATCATTAGAAAATGTTTAGTGTTTTTCCGTTTGTTATTAAAATAGTAGTGAAAAGAAATAAAGGAATCGTTGATTAAAATCTACTTATTATGCATTGAAAGGGTTTGGCTTTGATTACACTGTCTGTACTCATACTGTATATGAAATTGTAATCTAATCTTCAGCTTTAATGAGAGATTGAAAATAACAAATTTATTATTACATGATTTAGGGATAGAATGTATAGAAAGACATGTCTGCTCTCTAATGCATGTTTGATTGATTTGCAATCATTGTTTGCATCACTATTTGGTTGAGATTTATTTCAGTTCTTTCGCTAATTTCTTATACAATCTCTAGAAGTGGATGATTGAGAGTGAATGCAAAGAGTGGGTCAACATTCAATGACAGAGAGAGAGAGAGAGAGAGAGAGAGAGAGATGAGAAATACTTCACAGAAATCTCAGTAATAGTTTTGCTAAGCTTTTAGGTATAATTTTGTTACGAGTTTTTTGGCACTAATTTAATAGTTAAATAGCAATTCAAGCGACGGATTATGTGAACAATAGTTTGTTTGTTATGCTAAACACAATACACACTAATTCACTGATAAATCTTACTGTATTATCATAAAGATAATTGTATGACATATATAAACTTCACAACGACAACAACACACTGAAGTGAATACCTCGTAGATTTTTTTACACTTTACTATTCATATAACTAAACATAAAAAGTGAAATAAAATTATATGAAAAAGTGAGAGGAATGAAAGTTTTCTGTCACTAATTCTATACTTGAGGGCAATATTCTGTATATAAATAAATAGTTAGATAGAGAGAAAAAACAACTCCCGAGACATGAGAGCACTGGTATTTAACACCATTAATGTGTCAAAATGTAGTGCAAAACTATGGGGTTGTGTCTTATATTCAATTCGCACTATTGCTTACTTCAGTCACAAAATTGGTTGCTTGAGTGAGGAGAGCGTTCGCATTAGAATTTCTTAAGCAATCAAAACCTGTTTTCAATTTCAATTGCTGGACAGCTCGAGTGGGCGTGGATTGACCCAAGTCCAGTCACTAGAGCGTTCGCACTAAAACTTAAGAAAGCTGACTAACGTAAGAA